CCCCCCCCCCCCCCCCCCGAAGTTCAACATTGCTTCCAATGCGGCAGAGACTTGAGCTGAAGCTGCTTAAGCCAAGCAGCTCCTTTTTTCACATACGGTAAGGTGGTCCAAAATTGATGGAAAAGGGACTCTAGCAATGGGGTTGGTCAACAGTCATAAGAGCATAAGCATTGCCATCTAGGGCCATCTTGCCCTGTCCCCCACAGGGGTGGCGAGTGGATGCTGAAAGGGGGAGGGAACCGGGTATGACCTGGGTTTTTTTCCCACTGTTCCTCTCTCACTTGCATCTTCCAGAATTTAAGGTCCAGGAAATTCTAGCTGGAAGCTGTCTCCCCAACTCCCATGCTCAAAAATCTGCTGATGCTTTCCTCCAAGAACATGTCCAGTCCCTTTTTGGATCTAGCTAAACTGTCAGCTGTCACAATATCTGGTGGGAATGAGTTCCTCACTGCAATTACAGGCTGCGTGAAAAAGAATTTCCTTTTCTTAGTTTTAAACTTACTGCCTACTAGTTTTATTTTGTGACCTCTTGTTCTTGTCTTGTGAAAGGGACTATTTACTTTCTCTCTGCCATTTAGTATTTTGTAAACCATTATCATGTCCCCCCCTCAAGCATCTCTTTCCTAAACTGAAGAGGCTGCTCAAAAAGAAGACCCCTATATTTTGGATATTTCCAAGTGTGTATCTGTTTGTGAAAGGTGTGTTCTGTTACAGATGTGGTTTGGTATTTAGCCGTCAGGTGCCAACATGATGAAAAGGTTGAAAGGTATTTAACAGCTCAAAAAGTTCTGGTTTTTGACAGAAAATAAAACCAACCCTGATTTTCAGGTCAGTTTAAAAATAGCTTTGCTGTGCAACAATTTGATGGACAGTTTTGTTCATTATAAATTAAATGTAATTTATCCAGTTAGCTGAACAGAGTTGACCAAGCAAAATGAGGAGCTTATGAAAGTCTGCCAAATGTACATAGTTATAATTCCATTAGGAAGAGCATTTTCAAAACCAAAGATTTTTCTTGAGTTCTAGTTTGTTTGTTTGTGGGGGGCACTCTTGTTATTACATGCCATAAACATTAGGAAGAGCAGCATTCACATTATTTCACTTGTAGGGAGCCCTTGGTTTTGATGATGATATAGAGTAGTGGGGGCCAACCTTTTTGCACATGCCACAAATTAGCCTTGTATCCTCCCCTGCCTGATTGGATGTTCTGGCTTCTGCTCTCTGTCCTAACTACTGTGCTGCCTGTCCCCTCCCCACCATGCCATATACTGCCCAGACTGCCTGTGCCACTTGTGGCACCCATGCCACAGGTTGGCCACGCCAGCTGTAGAGAATCCTGTGAGAGAAATGCCTTTTATAATACTTAGTGTAAAGAAAAGAGTGAGAGAGAGAGAGAAATGACTTTGTAAATGAGGCTAACAAAAATTAAGCTCTTTAAATGTAACGAAATAAAACTTTTCCTGATATTTTAGAGCTGAGTTTTAATTTTGCAAAAAAAGGCAGAACCTTCCACTTCCACTTTAGAAACCACTTCTCTGTGTACTGAAAACTCATTCACTTCTGTGGTGAGAATCAGACCCTCAAATAAGAGTGGAGGGGGTTGAACAGTTCACAGGATTGGGCCCTACATTGACCTGGACTGTGTATTAGTGACATCTTGTTTATTTGTTAACATGACTGAATGTTGCCATTGATGCATAAAGGCAGATTCTTAACACCTGTGTTTTCTGAGTCATTTCCCTTCTAGGTCCTACCCTGTTCTTTCTAAATTGCATGGCAGCTCTTGCCTTGGTCTTCCTGCATGTCTTAGCATTTAAAGGCAGCCATTGGACACCTCGTGTGCAGGTTATTTCACAGTGGTATTTACTTTGTCCTCTTAAGCAGTTTTAAGTAGAAACGTTTTGATCCTAACACTAAATATCTTGTATGTATATGGTGCCAGAGACCAGGCCAGTCTGCTTTTCAATAATGAGGGAAATCAAAATACTTTTGAATTTCCTCACAATGCTGCTTATTGACTTGCCCAGGACTTTCTGGAAATTGAGATTTTTATTAGCTCAAGATGGATTCCCCAAAATCTAGGCATCTGAAATCACTAGTCAGTGTTGAAAATGTTGTCTCATATGAATACCGGCTTGTGAGAGATGGAGTAGAACCGTGGGGGTGGGGACTTTTTGGCAGGCCTGGCACAGATTAGCCCCACACCTTCCCTGAGTGTCACTCCCATGTTTTTCTGCCCAATTTGCTTTCTGTTTCCTGCCCTGTGCCCCTACCTGATCTGCTGTTGTTCTTTCTGCCCCCCTGGCTTATGTTCCCTGCCTGATTTGCTGCTTTGCTTTCTGCTCCCTGCCCTATTTGCTGCTATGTTGCCTGTCCCCTCCCTAACCCCCAGCCTCTATCTCCCATGTGACATACAGAGGCTGCCCATGCATGTGCCCTAAATTGGCAATACCCCTGGAGTAGAAGGTGTGGGGACTGCTGGAGAAACTGTGACCTAGTAACACCACAGGTTGCCTCCAGAGTCAGTCAAAGCTAGTCCCTCTTAATTGGAGGAAAAGGCTGCTGTGCAAACTAAGACTTCTGAATGCAAGGGGGAATAAAAGGGATAATTGTGGGTGGGGGGCTGGGAGCTGATGACATACATCAAGCCAACCCAGGGCTGTATATTTGATTCTAGTGCTTTTTGGAAAACTTATTTCATTGCAAAAACATTTTGATAAAAATATTTTTTATTTTAGTGTTTTATTACTTTTGGGCTTTCCTTAACTCCAAATCTGAAAACCAAACAGTTACAGATGCTAAAAAACAAAAAATGTTGTTTTCAGCAAACCCAAGAAAATCTCTTAGTTGAAAAGCAACTTTCTATTTAAAGTGATTTGACTGAAAAATTTCAACTAGCATTGAATATTTGGTAGGAACTTTGGTATCACTGTTGTTACCTACCAAAAGAAGCATCTTTAAACTGTCCAGGGCTCTGCAGGCTTCAGGCAGACATTCTAAATCAGATTTTCCTCAGTATCTTCACTGCATGTAGTCAGGTGCCTGATAGAAAGATGTAACCAGCTAGAGAATGTCTTAAAACTATATCATCAGGAGAAAGATATAAACTTCCATTAATATAACTTTAATTATGAATTAAAATGATTGATATAATCTGAGGGAGAAGTTGTCAAGGCTGCTTCAAGATCCTGGGTAAGGGACTAACTCGGAATCAAGAAACGTTTTGTCAAGTTTGAAAATAAATGAAGTGGTTTAGTCCCATGTGAAATAACTTACAGATTTCAAGCCCCAACTGCTTGAGAAATGATTTGAGAAGATTCTGCTTTAAGTAAATCCAATTTTTGTCTTCTCTTCTGGCTTTGCTAAGATAACTAAGTCAGGTATTTAATGTTGCATTATCATAATTTGCTGAAGTTTAATTTATTTCATTGTGTAATTGTTTCTTTCTAAAGAAAAAGAAATCTCCATGAGTGTCACCATGCTGCTTAGAGAATTGCTAATATTAATGTCACAATGACTTACACAGTTGTACTGACTATTATTCAAATTATAGGAAAAAGTTTGCTCATGTATAAAGACCAGGGGCAGATTCAGGGGTTGCGCTGGTACAGTTGCACCCCGCCACTCCCTCCACTTTGATTCCTTCTCCACACAAAAGTTTAAAACCAACTGCCTGGCAGTGACAGCAACATTTCTATTCAGGTAGCAGTGAGAGAGTCAGTTGACTTTGGGGGTCATTAAAATCTACCTGATTCCTTCTAAACTCATCATTCCACAGGTGTTAATGACCCTCTCTCTTTTTTTTTTAATGGTCTTGATATTTCATTAATAAAGTTAGCCTTTCTTGTGCAATTCTGCTGTCTGTTAGCTGCTCCTGCTACTGTAGCTCTTATTTCACAGCCTTACAGACTGTTTTTAACTCATTCCAATAAAGTTATTTGTTCTTGCATCAATCTTAAACTGAGTACTATAGCCCTAGGCCCCTAGCATATTAGTTACACTTCTAGTTTCTTTTTTACCTCAGTAAAAATGTGTTGCTTTATATGTGATGATGTACTTCACCATGTGCACCCACCTTGTCAAAATCCTAGATCCACCTGTGATAAAGACATTAAGGACCTCTTTCTTCTTTTGTTAGTCATTTGGAATTGTGCTACTGACTTTAGTGGGAGCAGCAGTTGGGGTTAGATGATCAAAATAGTCAATTCATCCAAATTTAGTAGTTCATTGAGCTAGCATGGTTAAAGCAGACAAGTTTTTGTAGCCAATGGCATGCAAAGGATTAATATATTACCTCCAGTTGCCTTTGATACCTCTGCCCAAATGATCAGCTATTCATTCATAGCTGGGTTGCTTAGGGTGGCATTTGCCACAAGTCTGGAGCAAGGTTTGATCTTGCATCTCTAGAGCTGCAATAAAGTGTGTTCCCCCTCGGGATCATATAATGATCCACTACAGATAAAGGATATGCTAACTTACCTTTCAGGTGGGTGGCACTAGCAGGGAGTGATTCATATTTACTGAAATTTTATTAAAAAATCCACTGTTTAGTTCTTTCAAAAGTTCTGAACATCAAAACTCCCACTGTGGTCACCATTTAAAACAAAGATATTAGCATCTTGTCTGGATCAACCACTTACATAAGTACTGAACATATCTGTTACATGAAGCAAAGTATAAATCAAGTACTGTCCCTTGTATCTAGCCTCTATAAATAAGAAGAGATAATTTTTTATGTGTATATAGATTATATCAGTCTTAAAAATGTTAGCAATGATGGCACTTTGGGTTATACTTTTATTATTCCTTTATTCTACAAACTGGCCTGTAAGGAGGAAAGTGTCTGGTATTAGTTTCTAGTTGAAAATATCCATACATCTTTCCTGGTGTAATGGGATTACTGTTTTATAAGATTATTGCAAACTTAAAAAAGCCCCCTTGTGCAACCAGGAAGCAAGAGCAGAAAAGATCCTTTATATGAAGAAGTCACAGATCATGAAACAGCCATTTCTTTAATTTTTTTTTTTTTTGGCTACACCATAGCTTAGTTTTTAAGTAATTTTTCAGAGCAGGGAGCTAGGTTAGGTGTGAGCCAGAACAGCTCTCTTTAGATATTTTGTTTCCCATTCCAGTTATGACTGATAGAATTAAAACTATATCTGTTGAACTTGTTTCCTATTAAACACTGAATTAGATTAAAGTCCTTGTATATTCCTTAATGAACTGCCTTAAAAAAATTAAGTTCCGTGTTCTCTGAAACAGAACTATTTTTAAGTATCTTTTAAAATTGACTATTTTAATTAAGAATTTCAGAAACTATCTTGGTAAATTTTTGCTTCTTTCAATCTATCGTGTTTTGGGACTTCTTAAAATACCACTTTTTAATAATTTTTTGAATCAATACTCTAGATCAATTTGAAAAGTTTTTACTTCATAAAGAACATTTTGCACTCCTATGAGACTGCAAACCTACAGGCTGGGGAACTCCCTTCTTGTTAGTGCAGAGGCAGAAAAGTACCTTGGAGTCATTATTGATGCCAAAATGAACATGGGCCGACAGTGTCGGGGCACAGGCACTGGGAGAGTCCCTGTTCCCTCGAGCGCTACCAGGAGTGACAAGTTATAACGGTCACAAGCTGGCAAAGAGTAGATTCAGACTAGACATCAGGAGGTGCTACTTCACTGTCAGGGTGGCTAGGATCTGGAACCAATTTCCAAGAGAAGTGGTGCTGGGTCCTACCCTGGGGGTCTTTAAAAGGAGGCTGGATGAACACCTCGCAGGGGTTGTTTGACCCCAGTACTCTTTCCTGCCATGGCAAGGGGTCGGA